GCCCACAGACCAAAAACATGCATGTTAGGCTGATTGGTAACTCTAAATTGTCCCTAGGTGTGAATGAGAGAGTGAATGGTTGTTTGTCTCGTTTGTCTCTATGTGGCCCTGTGATGGACTTGCGACCCGTCCAGGGTGTACCCCGCCCCTCGCACAGTGATTGCTGGACATGGGCACCAGCGACCCCCGTGACCCAAAATGGAATAAACGGGTAAAGATAATGGATGGATGGATGAATATTGACATTTGCCATCTCCACATCATTGCATTCAGTTTTTATTCACAATTTATTTAGTGTCCCAACGTTTTTGGAATCCTGTTTGTGTGTGTGTGTGTGTGTGTATATATACCTTTAAGATTCTCTTTTAAATCAGAAGCTTTAAAGCAAGGTCATCTTTAAAAATGTGAAACATAAATATTAAATTCAACAAATTATATAGAAAATATTCTCAAAGAACTGTCCATTACATCAACACCTCAAACCTCGTGAGTTATGTTCCTTTAATGAGGTTGTCCATCATGATGTTCGGACCACGCCCCCTTGCTCGAGTCCAGATATAGGATATGACGTCACCACAATCATAACCCCGATATTTAGGGGCGGGAAAAGAAAGTCCAGGATGGTTCTGTGAAGCTCTGCGCCTCCCTTTCTCCTCTTCTCTCCTCCAACTTGACGGAATCCAAACATCCTCGTCTTCTTTGTCTCACCGAACCTGCAGTGCGTGATGCGCGCGCACGCCGTCCGTGTGCAGGAATGCGCGTTCACGGCAGAGGATGAGCAGCACACATCACCTAAACATGGCAGCTTTCATCTGCAATATTCCTGCGTTTATAATGGTTTAAATGTCTGGTATGTGTCTGTTGCTCATGTTTATTTTTATTTTATTTTATTTTAGATGAGATTACTGAAAGTCAAAGACACTCACTGCTGTTTCGTTTCAGAGTCCTGACTCTATCAGGGTTATAAGAGATGGTCCCAGCACACAGACTCCCACTGAAAGATGCTTTTTGTTCTCTGCACACCAAAGAGAATACCCGATCCAGCCGCTGGGCCCCTGCAGAGATAACTGCTCTTTGGGCGTGCAGCAGGGGGTTATGGGATGTCTGAGGGGTGTTTTTTGTATCTAACCTTCATGTAAGGAGCCCAACTGAGTCAGACTGAACATTTACACAATTCACTTAAAGTAGCTGCTTCATTTTGAAGTAAATTTCAGCGTGTTGCCTCAGTTTGAGTCAGTCTGAGCAGATCGAGTGCTGCATTTTTTTGTCTTATTCACCTAATTTAACCATTTAACACATGAGTGTTCCTCCCTCTACCTGTTGGAACTGATTACTCAAACTGAACGATAGATATATTCCTTGTCCAATTTAGTGCCAACATAAAGTGGTTTCATGCTTCAACCTCAGCCAGTCATACAGACAAGACTGCAAACACACAAATTGAGATTATTTCCTTCCTACATGAGGCGCACAAACAAATAATTTATATTTAATAGAGCGATTATCCTTTAAAAATGTATTTTATGAACATCTGTATGAGGACAGCAGCCTACTTTAGGTGACAAGTCAATGAGAAAGGAAGAAAAACGTGTGGCGTGGGTGTGAAACGTACAAAGGATTTAAGCCAGAGTGAATCATCCAGTTAGGACAATCACAAAGTATGGCAGACGTCTCTGTCTGCCCCCCCACCGAATGGCGTAATGCTCTGATTGGATTAAAGGGGCCTCAGCATAGGATGTGATTGATTCTTCTTCAGCTGAGAGTTATGGTGGGGGTAGACGACTGATTCAAGCAACATTAAAATGTGCTCATGTTCATGTATCTGCACCACCCACACCCACAGTGCTCCATGGAAAATAACCAGATCATGCACTAACATCACAAACATGTCTGTAATTGTTTCAGGACTTGTCGGCCTCTTGTGCACGGCTCTTACGTAAGGCTCTCGGTCGAAATTAAGGAGATGTTATCATTGCTGGTGCAGGCTGGAGTGGTGCACTAGGATGACCTCATCCTCAGATGGACAATAATAAATCTGAAGCATGGTGTGATCTCTGCTACCACTTACAGGCCAACACAGGCAACTGGAACCCAGCACTGTTCACCAAATCACTCAGAAAAATGGATATTAGAAAAGAGGAAATCATCGGCTGTTTATGTCACTTTGGAGCAACGATCACTTAAACATTATTGCTACAAACATAAGACTTTATTGTAAATTAAAATGCCACGTGGCTCTAAAATTTATTTATTTTTGTTGCACTAAATGCATATGAAGTGGAAAAATATGCATCTGAAATGCGATGGTCTGAAACAAAATTAAAGCAGAACTAAAATTAAAATGAGCAAAATCATAGCTAAAAGCTAAATTTAGCATAAAAGTTCAAATGAGCCAAGGTGTAGTTAAATTCTAATGTTAGCAAAGTGATTATAATAGCAAAACAGATGCTGAAGGTGAAATTAAGAGCAAAATTGTAGCCAAAAGCTAAAAAGGAGCAGAATGATAGCTCAAAATTAAAAACAAAATTGTAGCTAAAAGTAGCAACAGCAAAAGGGACAAGAAGCCAAATGGTAGCTAAAAGTGGCAGAGTAGTAGCCAAAAGTTAAACATATCAAAACAATAAAATATATAAGAAGCATATTAAAAGCTATATGTAGCAAAATTGTAAAAGGAAAAAATAGCCCCCCCCACACACACACACACACACACATACACACACTAAAAGTAGCAGAATGATAACTAAAAGCTAATAATGTCAGTGCAGTAGCTAAAAGCTAAACATAGAAAAACAGTAAGTGCATCATAGGACAAATATCAAGCAGGTGTGCTGGAGCAGAATTCAAAGAGAACAATGAGTTTTGTAGGAATTAAAACCGCTCAATGTGTTTCATGGAGAATTTTATTTTTAATAAAGTTAAATAATTTGAAAAGTACAAAGAAAAGTTACAAAAGCCCACTACGTATTCCTGACTGCGCTGAATTTTCTCATAGTTGACTTGATAAAATATTTAGGAGTAATTTAGTTGTAAAAATGCACAGAAGAAACTACAAACAGGAAGCCAGCGAATGCTCAGCAGTTGATGGATAACAGGTGGAGGTGTGTGTTTTTCATCATGCTGCCCCACAGCATGAAGCGAACTGATTCAGATTTTAGTTTCTGTGGCGTTTGCACGTTCTCATATATGGATCCAGTTTATGTCACATCTGGGGTAGAGGTAGAGCAGCCGACTCAGGACCCGAAAGTCACAGGTTCGATCCCCAGTCATTCCCACATGTTGTGGTGTCTCTGAGCAAGACACCTAATCCTTAATTGCTCCCCGGGCACTTACATAGCTGCCCACTGCTCAACCTGGGTGCATCCAGGTGTGATGGGTTAAATGCAGAGAACTAATTTAGCCATTGTATGGAAACATACAATGTTGACAACACATAGCACTTTACTTTACTTATCTACACAGCTGTGATTTGATTAATCACCTTTTCAAAAGAATATTTGATCCATTTTACATTCGGCCACTAGAGGACACTAACCAGCCCCGTTTGGTTTACACACCCAGGAAAACTGTCAATATTTAATTTGTCCACAAGGTGGGGAGATCACCTCACAGAAAACCTCCAAACACATGGAATAAGAAGAATAATAGGACTTAGTATCAAACAGGTGCTGTTTATTGTGGATTAAAGTGCTGCAAACTTTAAACACTGAATGATGCAATTGTTTTATTTTTCCAACAGTCTGGTTTGTCAACAAGGCTCCGTCCTGTCTGGAGACAGATCATTACAATGACAGTCTGTCCCAGATGCGTTCATGTGTCTTCTGCTGGAACTGCGATCTCCCTCCATCCAGTAGGACTCCGTCTGCATCTCCTTCAGCCTGGAGACAGTTCTCTGGAAGGCAAAGATCTCCTCCTCCACCGTGAACAGTGTGAGTCTCTCTGCTGCCTCCTGGCAAAAACAACAGAGTTAAGACACTTAAGTCCAATCAGTGTTCATGTGTTTTGAAAGAGGCACACAGTTTGTTATACGTGGCAACTACAAAGAAACGTGTCACACGCAGAGACAGGGTGACGCATTGAGATCTTACCCCGCTGAGGCCCAGATCGTCCAGCAGCTGTCGATCTCGCTCGTCTTCTCCTCCAGTGCGGACAAAGAGCCGGTCTAAAGGAGCCGCTGCCAGCAACGCCACTCTCACCTGGGAAAAAGAAAAAGGGGATTCGATGTTGGAATGCCCTATATATAATCCGTTAATGTATTCTGTGAATAATAATGAAAAATAAAACCAATTATCTAATTTACTACTAGTCTAACACTGTAGGTTTTTATATTCTGGCCTTCCAGATGTGTTTTTATTGCACCCCTGCAATAACCAAAGGATCCTTACTTTACTCCCCTTTTTTGTCAGAAAAGTGTTGTTGAGTTAGAAATCTTCACAAGTGGTAACAATACACCGTTTAAATTTAAAAAGTAACACTATCCATATGTCACTACCATCAAAATCTAATTTTTAGAATAAATATAAATAAAAATCATTTTCTTATGGCTCCATTGCAGGATCTGGCCTTCTTTATGTATAGGATAAATGAATGGAGGAATTCTGTAACCAGGTTTTTAAAAGTTTTTTTAGGAGCTTCAATCCCAATAAAAAGATAAATCTGTTTGTCAGCTGGGTACCTTGCTGTCGTAGAGGGTGTCTATGAGGGTGGTGAAGCGTCTGGCCTGGTCCTTCAGACTCAGCGTCAGAATGGGAACGTGGCGGATGAATACGGTGTCAAAGATCTGAGCCATCTCCAGGTAATCACCGGCTCCCAGAGGCTGGACCACAAGTGAGACGACTTCATATAACATTTAAGGCCTAGACTTCTGTGAAGGAATGCATGACTCTCAGCTACTAACACATACAATTTTATCACAATATCTGTAAAGTTGACCGGGTTGTAGCCATTTTTGTGTTAGCTAATACTAATTAGCTGTGGGAGCCATCTGAAATTGGATTTACTCCAAAAATTAAACAATTGTGCCTGCACATCATACAAATATTTCTGCAAAGTTTCATTAAAGTCTGTCTGGTAGTTCATGAGATATTTTGCTAACAGACAGTGTTGACTCCAAACAAGCAATGGTAAATATTTTAACAAAGGATTATACACAATCTTTCATGGGCTCAGATTGTGTGTGCGCATCAGTTTCAGCTATGATCACACAACATTTTAAGTCAACGTCCATAAAATTCAAAGAAATGTAGTCATTTTTGTGTTTTCTATGGTCAGTTGGCTACGGTGACCAACTTGAACTGTGCTGACTCCAAACCTTATTCAGTTGTAGGCGTACATCTATTGATTACTTTCTATTAGTTTCATGAATATTCATCCAGTGGTTCATGAGATATTTTGCTAACAGACTCACACACACACACACAAAATCATCATTGTCCGCCTTTGCCTTCATGTGGCAAGTGATAATAAAGTAAGCCTGGCATCAATAAGACTTTCCACAAGATGAGCAAACAGACACAAAGTGAATTACACACTCTGCGTACTCAGCCTGAAAGGAGAAAAAAAAGGACAATTTTCCAACAAAAGCATGTTGTGCAAAAGACTCCTGCTGATGTAACGTCCTTGGGGCTCCTGCCATTCAGTTTGATTGCTCTTAAAATTAATGAGAACGCATGGCAACATATGTCAGAGGAAGACTTTTTACACACACAGAGCACTAAACGACTTCATGTGAGGCACAGCGAACTGCTCTGTTAGGGAAGTATGGAACAAAAAGATCTAATAATATAAGATGGAGCTAGGTTGTTGAGAGCTTTGTATGTTAGAAGTAAGATTTTGAATTCGAGTCTGAATTTGACAGGGAGCCAGTGGAGAGAAGTTAAAACTGGAGAGATCTCCTACCAGCTCTCATTAAAACTCAGGCAGCTGCATTTTGGATCAACTGGAACAAGCATGTACAGCCACACCCTTTGGAGTCAAACCAATTCAATATGGCTGCCACAACTAGTCAACCTTAGCAAACACAAAAACAGCTCAAATTTAGTCCGCTTTATAGAAATTGAGGTAATACTGGAACAAACGACCAATTCATCAACAGATCATACAAAATATTTGCTTAAAACTTTGCCATTAATTATTGGAGTCAACTGTCTGTTAGCAAAATATCTCACAAGCCAGAGGCCACTCAGCCTTTTATTTAAGCGAGTGGACTTAGCACAGCAAACTGTGTGTGAGCTTAAAAGAAAATATGCAGGAAAATATGTGTTTTTGACCTACTATACTATTGAAAAACTAAGAAAACTCGGTGTAATTGTTCATAATAACCGTATTCTGAATTTCTCCGTCTTGCAGTTGAAAAACTTTTAAGTTCTATAGAGCCGAAAGAAGATAATTGCACTGTTACAAATGCCTGCACTGATTTCTCTTTTTGTAAAAGAAACTTACTCTGCCACACAGCTCGTCAAAGGTACAGTCAGCGATGGAGCCACAGGTTTTCTTCAGAGTAACATCTCTGCCCAGAACACTGAGCACCCGACGACCCGTAACTATGCAAACACAAACACAACGTTAACGAACCCCATCTAGTGCCGTTTGTAATTACCTCAACTGCAGCTGAATGGTTACGTCACAGCAAATCAAAGCAATGGAATGGGCCATTGTAAGAAAAGACAAATGTACATTTCATGGCTTTATGTGTTTTTTTTCTCTGAAACAATTGTAATAGCACAGCTGAAATAATAAGTCTGATGCTGCATTTTATTTTAAGCAAATATTGTACAAAGGGAAGGTGTAGATCTTTTGAAGTGGGGCTCAGTGAAAAAGTTGTGAACAAAAAAAACTCACCTGTTGTCGATAGCTTTCTGAATGCTTAATTATTATTTAAACTGGCCACCACAGCAAACACAAAAATGTCTCTAACTCAGTCAATTTGTCAGAAACCGAACTAAAAGTTGGCGTGGTAGTAGCTGAGAGTCACCCCCAACGCCTAGTGCTAACAGAATGTGCAAGGTTTAAAACTTTGGCACGCAAGGGTGTTATGCATTCCTTCAAGGAATGATAATTTACTTTTGATTGGATTGACAAGGGGCAGCACGGTGGCGCAACTGGTAGAGCTGCTGCCTCTCAGCGAGCAGGTCCCTGGTTCAAATCCCGGTCCAGGGGCCTTTCTGGGTGGAGTTTGCATGTTCTCTCCGTGCATGCGTGGGTTTTCTCCGGGTACTCGGGTTTCCTCCCACAGACCAAAAACATGCATGTTAGGCTGATTGGTAACTCTAAATTGTCCCTAGATGTGAGTGAGAGAGTGAATGGTTGTTTGTCTCGTTTGTCTCTATGTGGCCCTGTGATGGACTTGCGACCCGTCCAAGGTGTCCCCCGCCCCCTCGCACAGCGATTGCTGGACATGGGCATCGGCAAACCCCGTGACCCAAAATGGAAGAAGCGGGTAAAAGATAATGGATGGATGGATTGACAAGATAACAGCTAAACTGAGCAGGGCCAAGGTCTGAGTGGACGCTGTCCTAAAACATTGTCAGTCCAAAAAATTTCTTAATGTTTAATGCAAATGCTATTTTATAAACTTTTACCAGCATCCAGGTTTGCATTCTAGTGTTATTATGGTAGAATTATTGTGATTCTACTGTCGGATTAGTATCAATCCAATCAAAACTAGAGAAATTGTATTTCCTGCGAAAATGCAATGTGAATGCTTATTGCAGAAGAACTTGCTGAAATACAGTTGAAATTAGCTTAAAAAAATCTGCAATGTAGCTGAAATGGAAGAACAAGCCTAATTTAGCAGAAGAAAGCAGAAAAATCACACATTTGCCGAATGAGGTTTAAATAAGCAGAAACTAGCATAAAAATTAAGAAATTAGTTAAAAAAGCGGACGCTAGAAAAAAAAACCTTGAAAAGTAGCTAAAAAAGGCAGAAAGCAGCTTAAACTACCAGAAGGAAGTGAAAGGAGCTGAATGAGCTAAAAATGTGGAATTATTTGAAAAAGTTAAATTTAGCACAAAAACAGCTAAATAGTAGCTTAACTAGCAGAAAAGCTGAAAGGAGCATTAAAATTAGCAGAAAGAAGTTAATTTGGCTGAAAGTAGCAGAAATTACCACGAAAATCTTGACTTCATCAGAAAACAGCTGCAATTAGTTAAAAATGCTAAAAAGTTAGCTGAAAAGGTAGAACCAGCTTAGCTTAGCACAAGAAAGCAGAAAGAACACAAGTTTGCCCAATTATTCTGAAAGAAGGTTAAATTGGTACAAAAAAGGGGAAATTATCTGGAAAAGGCTGAAACTAGCAAAAAAAAAAACAGCTGGAAGAGCAGCAAAAAAGCAGAAAGAAGCTTAAATTACCAGAGGGAAGTGGAGAGGGCAGAGTTTTGCTGAATTAGGCTGTGAAAAGTTTAAATGACTGCAAAAAATGTGGAATTAGCTGAAAAAGCTAAAATTAGTATAAAAACAGCAGAATAATTGCTGAAATAACAGTAAAAGCTGAAACACAGAAATAAACTAAAAGGAGTATAACAAGCTGAAATTAGCAGAAAGAAGTTGGATGAAGCACAAAAATACTGTAGTTAGCAGAAAGATCTTAAAAGGAGCACAAAACAGCTGGAAAAAAAACAGCTAAAATTAGCTGAAAGTAGATAAAACAAGTTTCAATTTGCACAAGGAAGCTGAAAGAAGCTGAACCAGAACAAAATGTGAAAGGAGCAGTAAAAGGTTGTAAACAGATCTAAAGATCTGAAGGATGTAAAATGAGCTCAATTTATTTTCTATATGGAAAAAATGGCAGAAAAGGCTAAATATTTCAAAAAGCTAAAGTTGCACCAACACCAAAAGTTATAGCAGGATTGTCCTGAAAGAGCTGAACGTTTCAGTCCTTCTCAAATAGTGCGGCATGCCCCCCTGGGGGGGCCCGGGGCAATACCTGGGGTAGCGCATTTAAATGTAAAAATAATAATTTCACACTTTTTGTCTGAGGAGCAGACTGCTTTGAGTTTAACTCCATCACAGAACTCTCATCTTGAGCAAGCATGAAGGCGACAGTGGAAAGGAAAAACTCCCTCATGAGGAAGAAACCTTTAGCAGAACCAGGCTCAGGACAAGCGACCAGCTGGGTTTGGTAGGAACAGATACACAATGGCAGGTCAAGAATCTCATGTTAAGGTATAAATAGTGTCAAATGAAAACTAATCAATTTTAGCTAATCATTTAACACTAGAAGTCCCAGGAATTTCGACCTCCCCCCAGAAGTCCTGAAAAAGGGTCAAAAGACCCTTAGCACTAGAGTGACTAGATTTTCAAGATCCTGAGGACAAACCCCCTCCTTCTCCTCAACAATTTGCAGGCCATTAACTGCCATTTGTTTTAAATATGCACACAAGTAACTCAGACACACCCACCTCACCAGACTGCATTCCAATGTCCAATCCAGGGAGCGGGGGATTTAGAAGCCAGGTTCACTTGCGCAAAAAAGCGCAGCCTTAGTCAGTGTTCCAAACCGGACAACTCTGATGGCTCCAATTAGCATCCTTTCATTTGTAAATGTGGCCATTGCCTTAGGAATCAGCAAGGGAGAGATGAGCTGAACTCACACAAACGTCCGTCTAATACTCCAAACAGATGCGAAATCAACTGGTTATATTTTGAACTTTTATCTCTTGGTGGCACGTTGGTGCACATTTTGAACAAATTGAAGTCGATTTACCGTTTATTTTTCAATTGGTTTGGCTCATTTCTTGAAACCGAGATGACATTCTCAAAACACCATGTGAAACACAACTCAAGAGACTTTGCATTTTGAGGTTACTGACAATTTGTATGAAACACATATTTTGTTTTGAAGCATACATGAAGTGTTTTGGGAGAGATACATTATCCAGGTCATTTTGCCAAATGAACAAAACAAAACAAAAGTTTGCAAAACATACAATCTGTTTCAAGATATATGCAAAAGTTTTTCTAAAAGATTTTAGTAATGTTTTTCTTTCAGAAAAAAGAGAAGTGGGTTCAAAATGACAGTTTAGAAAAAAATAACCAAATTAATTGTGAGAAGAAGGCACGCAAGGAGAAACTGCTTCAGCAACAACCTTCCACACCCAGACCTGGCAAAAGGGCAAAGTGTCAGATCAAACATCGATGCACGAACAATTGTGTAACTGTGAGATGCGTCAACTGCTACAAATACACATGTGGCAAATGTACCAGGGACATACCCTGGCAGTGCCAGGTATGTTTCGACAGTGCAGATGGACTGCTGAGTGAGTGCTGAAATGCCAGTCACACAAGGAGGACATGCCACTCACACACACGCAGCCCCCCCACTAGAGCATAGTGTAAATATGTGTAGAATTGTTTTATCCCTTGTATTTTTATGACAAAAATAAAAAGCATGGAAACAAATAACGGTTGTTGTTTTTTATATTTCTCATGCTGAAGTTTTAGTCCTCTTGACTTACACACAATTGCTTATGGTCTGTGCTTTTTTGCTCAAAACTAAGCTAAATACTATATATATCAAAACAAAATATGCGTTTCATACAAATTGTCAGTAACCTCAAAATGCAAAGTCTCTTGAGTTGTGTTTCACATGGTGTTTTGAGAATGTCATCTCGGTTTCAAGAAATGAGCCAAACCAATTGAAAAATAAACGGTAAATCGACTTCAATTTGTTCAAAATGTGCAACAACGTGCCACCAATATATATATAAAAAATCTTCATATTATAAAATACAATAAACTGAATATAACTAACTAGAAACTAAATGGCTAAACTCAATGGAAAACAGTTAGTTTGGAGTTAAGCGTGCCCCCTCCTGTGGTGCACCAGTAATGGCCTTATTTACAAAACAAAAGCGCCTGTTAACAGCTCATTATAGGATGTTAGCTAAAATCCTTCAGGTCACTCGACCTGTCTCTGGGTTCCAAAGGTAGAAATGTTAAATGACCCTTCTCTGGGACTTCTAGTGTTAAGGAACTGAGGTCAATTTGTCCTCCAGTAGTCTAAGCTTAAGAAACGTGGTTTTGAATGGGAGAAGAATCATTTGAAACATGAATGGATCGGTGGTTAGTTGGGGATTTAGTTTTAGCTTTAGTCTTACTTTGGGCTGATACCCGGCGGGCCTGTGGTTCCGGATTGCTAAGGGGAGGAAACTGATTTGAAATGTGATTTAAAATGGAAGAACATTTTTTTGAAACATCATTTGAAATGTGAAAAAGGACTATGGTGAACCGGGGACTTAGGTTTAGCATTTAGTTTACCTCAGGCTGTCACCCAGCTGGCCTGTGGTTTCTGATTGCTAATGTGAGCTAGCATTAGTGGCTCTGCAGAGCCTATGTGCGCCTGGCTAGTTAATGTTTTTTCCAAAGCACAGAGTTGAGCCTTCAGATCAGACAGCCTCTCCACTAGAACCGGACATATCAGAACATTTCATACATGTACCAGTATCTTCAAACGAGGCAGTATAGCTGAACATTTGGCACACGATACATGTAATTAAGCCAGAAGCCATATTTAGCCAATTGATACATAGCCATATTGAGCCTGTCTACAACAGGTAAGATATTAATTGTTCATAACCTTTCCACAGAACTCCACCTGACACACTGCTTGATCTTCCTTACCACTCCTCTGTCTTAATGCCAACTCTTCAAACAGCGTGTCCAAGCAGGCTTCTGCACCGGGTTCCTCTGTGCTGCAGCAACAGAGCAAATAATTGGATATGAAATTAATAAGGCTGAAGTGGCCACATCAAATGCTGGCAACGAGCAGAGCATGGGTGTCAGGTACTTAGCTTTTCACTCCATCAACTAAAACCAGGATGTTTGGCTCTAAACACAAGCATTAGGCTGTGAATGGGACTGTGAAGGGTGTGTGTTTGTGTGTGTTTGTGTCTGTTTGTGCGCTTGTGTTTTAACTTCAGGTAAAAGGGTGTGATGAGCTCTATTTACATACAGTAAATGGATAAATCTTGTTTGGCAGTGCATGTGTGTGTATGTGTGTGTTCTAGCAGTGTATATGCAACGAGAAAAATGAAAAACTAGCTTTTAAAGCTCTGCCATTTTCTCATGTTCTATTGATTCCTTTCATTCTTTTCATGGCCCTTTCAAGGTAATGCAGGTCTTTATAAATTTGCCTGCCTGCTTCTGCCCATTTATGCACCTGTTTGCCTTCTCTTTCTAGCCTTAAAAAAAAAAAAAAAAAAAAATCAAACTACAGAATGTGCACAAACATTTCCAGTGCATGAATGCTTGTGTGGATGTTCATGTAGACTCGTTCCCAGACTTCTGACGCATCTCTGAACTGATCCGGAGCATAAAAAGTGCTGCAGAGTGAGTTTGTTTCTTACAGGTAGTAAAGTTTTCCAGCTGCAGGTTTTTCCAGCATCCTGTAGTCAATCCCTGAGTCCAGGCATACAGCGTGACAGTATTCCTGTGGACAAACAAACAACATTACTGTCAACAAGGCAAATGTTTAAACTATCTTAAAGAACATGGGCTGACTTTCATGAATTCTGTATTGTAATGGGATCTGCAAACACCATATAAACTAGAAAGTTCTTTGAGAAACTTTGACGGGGGCTGCCACATGGCGGCCATTTTGAAATTTAGAATTGACTGTATTATATGCTGGGGTTTGCGCTCAGCTACCACCATACCAAATTTCAGCTCAATACGGCAAAAAATAACATTTAAATAAAAAAAATAATTGAATTATAGTTATGTTTTTTTAAAGCTGTGGTGGTCATCTTGGATTTTTTTTATTTGGATACATTGTTTTTATTGCAGTTAGTCGTGGAACTGTTGGAAATGATTCGGGGGATCACTGCAGACTATCAGGAAAATAATAAAAAGTGAAAAAATATATAAAATTATTATAAGAAACCCAGCTGGTTTTGAAAAAAAAAAAGATATTAAATGATGCTGCAGTCTTGTGTGTGTGAATATAGCAACGGTGCATGCATGTGAGAATTGGTAGTTTAGACTAGCTGATTTTAGGTCAATGTGAGTAAAATGTACAGAATTATAGCCATTTTTGTGTTCTTTAAGGTCATTGACCGTGGCAGCCATCTTGAACATGTACATCGAGTGATTTTGGCAACCATTAAAGTTTACCGTATAAATAATTTTTACTCTTTTGCTTCTTGATGTGTCACAGGAGAAGTGAAAGTTTTGTCTCTGTATGCTTGTCACAAATGACTAAAGGAACAAAGAGCAAATGGTGTCTGAGCAGGTAAAACATCAGGACGACAGAGAAGGCAGCAGGCGTCCTCCTCTCCTCTGACAGCTCTCAATTTTATGTCAGCACTTCATGGTTTATTGAGCTGAACTATTGTTAGGCAGCGATTCGAGCGCGTTCCAGCTGCAGCGAACCTGCCAAACTTCTCGAAACAGAGTAAAACGTCAACAGGATTCATGTCAGCGAGTGCAGCACAAACTATAATCATCATTGCCACTATTCTATCAAAGAAAAGAGAGGAATTGCATATCATTCCGTGCGAGCTATCAGCGGCTGACTGAGTATTCAGCGACAGCTCCGTTAAATTATGAAATCGGTGAATTTCTGCCACTGGCCTCCTTAAGCTGCAGGATAATTAGTAATCATCACAAAGCAAGGGGACGGAAATACTCTATTCTTCTCCGCTGTCAACTTTTTATCTCCGTGTCCGCTCACACAAACGGGGTTCCCACTCTGAGGCAATTGGCTGAATCAGGCTTAATAACAACCTGACAAACTCGCCCTCCCTCACGCACAAAAGGGAGGTGTCATTTCATCAACCTTCCGTGACCCCGCCAACCGGTAAATAGTCGCTCAAAAAGAAGAAGGGGAAAAAAAAAAATACTTGTCACAATTGCCTCCACATCATTAGAATCTGTTAAGCTTTTCTCCTGCCATCTTTCCCCCTTCACCACCACCTCCCCTTTATGAGCAGCGTCTACCTACAGTGAAGACGGTTGACGGAGGTATAAATAAGAGAAGGGAGAAGAAGGAGGAATGGAAACACAATCAGCGATGATGATTCCATTGGTTATTTATAATCAGATGAGGCTGAGGCCTCGCGGGTCATTACTTGATTATCCATCTCGAGGGGACTGTCAAGTTCCCCACTCCTTCAAGATTTCCTCCGCCTACACATTGTGGTCTTTCTCAACCCCTCCCAACACCACCACCTCCCCCTCCACCACCTTTCATCATGCCCCTCACGCAGTCACGTCTCAAGTCTACTTTGCAACTTCCAGCCTCACCTCGAACTATTACTTCCATCTGATTTGTAAATCAAACATGGACCAGACAGCAGTTTTTACAGGTGTGTTGTACAAACGATTAGGCTATGAAAAGTTTAACTGATTCAGGTTGGGCTAGGTGTTAGCCAAGTATCTCATAAAGCACTGGATAGATTTCAATGATGCGTCCAGGAAATAATCATTGTATGAATGTTTATGAAGCATTCACACTGTGATCCATTTTTCTTAAGTACGGTTTTCTTTCTCGTTCCACAATTTTTGTGCCATTTCAACAATTCATATAAAAAAATATGAATATATGGTCGTTCAGGAGAAGGGTGCTATGACGTTTGTTATTGGTGCAACTTTAGCTTTTCAAAATATTTATCCTTTACTAACATTTTTTTTCTCAAAAAAAAAAAATGAACTGAGCTCATTTTACTTTCTTCATATCTTTAGATCTGTTTTCAACCTTTTACTGCTCCTTTCACATTTTGTTCCGATTCAGCTTCTTTGTGCAAATTGAATTTTTTTTTCAGCTTTCAGCTAATTTCAGCTGTTTTTACAGCTGTTTTGTGCTCGTTTCAGATTCTTTCTGCTAACTACATTTGTTGTGCTTCTCCCATCTTCTTTCTGCTAATTTTAGCTTGTTTTGCTCCTTTCAGCTTATTTCTGCAAGTTTCAGCTTTTTCAACTATTTCATCTTCAGATCTGTTTTAGCTAATTTAAGTTTTTTTTTCAAATAATTTCCACTGTTGTGCTCATTTTTGCATCTTTCAGCCTAATTGGGCAAACATGTTCTGCTTTCCTTGTTCTACCTTTTCATCTAGGTTTTTAATTTTAGCTGTTTTCAGATAAATTCAAGGTTTTCATGGTAATCTGCTACTTTTAGCATAATTAACTTTTTTTCTGCTAATTTCAGTTTATTATGCTCCTTTCAGCTTAGGGTATTTCTGCTAGTTTCAGCTCTTTCTGCTATTTCAGTTATTATTTAACGGTTTTGTGCTAAGTGAGCTTTTTCAGATAATTCCACCCACTTTTTCTCCCTTTGCTTATTTCACAGCTTCTTCCATTTCCTTCTGGTAATTTAAGCTTCTTTCTGCCTTTTCAACTACTTTTCACCAATTTGTTGCTAATTTCAGATTTTTTTTGCTAATTTCCTAATTTTGGTGCTCATTTCTGCTTATTTAAACACAATTGAGTAAATATATGTTCTTTCTGCTTTCTTCTGCTAACTTGGCTTTGTTCTTCCATTTCGGCATGCTTTTAGCTAATTTCAGCTGTTTTTCAGCAAGTTCTTCAGCAGTAAGCATTCACATTGCATTTTTTCAATTCAATTCAATTCAAAAATACTTTATTAATCCCAAGGGAAATTATTTGTTGTTGTAACTCGTTATCCTCATTTCATTAAGAGATGTTATAGATGCTGATGGCTGTAGGCAGGAAGGATCTCTTGTAAAGGTCCATCCCACAGTGGATCCTATGAAACTGGCTGCAGATGCTGTCCGATCCGTCCACCCAGACTCGGCTGGCCTCTCGGTTCCCCCGGGCTGTAGGACCGCCCCAGTGCCGGGCAGAACTCTTCCCAGAGCGATGGCCACTCCTCCCAGCAGTCTGCCGAGCTCCTCATTGCTGCAGACAGACAACTGTAGGTGTCGAGGGACAATCCTGTCCTTCCACTGTCATGAGCCATGTTTCCTGCTAGTTCCAGGATCTCAGTGGTCAGGCACTCGAGCACAGCTGGCAGGTAGATGAGAATGCGTCCACAGAATATCCTTTTCAACTCATTTGAGATTTGGGGCTGTAGTTGAGATATTATTTGAGCTTTTGAGATGTTAATCAGCTGCTGTTGGTCGTAGAAAACTGCCTTGTTACCATGGTTACGCATCATAACAAAAGTCCAAAACTAAAAAAGTTTCAGTAAAAATCCTTCCAGCTGCACAGCATCTGATACCAGAGGAAACAATCATCCAAAAAAAAGTGATTTACATCCAGAAAAAGAGGAATTAAAGTTTCCAAAAGCAAAATCTCAGAATGAAAGTAACAGAGCTGCTCCAACATGCAGCCACCTTGAGCGCTGCAATATTCTGCAATTTTGCAGGAAATGCTGTTTCTCTAGTTAGATGTACATCTGCAGCTAATCAACTTTTGGAGCCAAGTCCATTCAAGATGGCTGTAACAGTCAACTGAACTTAGAAAACACAAAAATGGCTAAGATTCTGTCAGTTTTACAAACGTGTAAATAACTGGTGTGGTTGTAGCCACGTCATTTAGCACATACTCCAAGTGCAACTCCTTGTGTGTAATCTTTGCTTAAAATTTTTAACATTATTTGGAGCATAATTGGCACGTCGGTTAGCAAAAGATCTCAATAACTCCTGGATGGATTTTAATGAAACCTTCAGGAAGTGATCCTTGGCTGTACATCTAAACCTGATGATCTGTTGGAGTCCATCCAGTTCAAGATAGACGTTACAGCTAATTAACATTATTGCCAACACAAAAATGGATATAACTTAGTAAATGAGATAGTAATCTAAAATTTGGCATTGTAATAGCTTAGAGTCATTCATCTGGTGATCGCATGAAATTGCGCATAGCATTATTTTTATGGTTTGACCAAAAGGGCGACTACAAACCTTGTCTCTGAAAGTTTGAGGGCGATATGCATGCCTTTGAGGAATGTTAGTTTTTTCTTCTTTTTTTTTTTTTTTTTACTAAATTGTCGTCAAAATTATGGAAAATTGCAACTTGAACACTTGCTGATCTCATGCTGCTGATTTATTTCACGCTGCTGTGTTCATTCATGCTCACCTGCTCACACAGATTCACGTTTGTGCTGCTGTTGTTCAGTATATTATTTTTGTACAATTTGTGCTTAGTGTATTCTTAATTTTAGCGTATTTCTTAGTTCAACTTAGATATTGCTACTGTTTTTCTTTACAATTTATACTTTTGTTGGATGTAGCTGGGACCCAGTGTACACAATTTCGTTCCACCGCATGTACCACATGTGGTGCAAATGACAATAAAGAACCTTGACTTGAAAAAAATTGGCTAACAGATCAATTATTGTTATTTTGTTGTAGCCTCAGATTTACAATCTGAGGTTTTTGGTCCAGAAATGTCAAAATGAAGCAGACTTAATTTTTTTTTTTTTTAAGTCACCCAAACATGTAGCTGCAATCATGTCATTGTCTGAGCTGG